TCTCTCTCTCTGTCTCTCATGAATAAATAAATAAAATCTTAAAAAAAGAATTAAAAGCAAGGACTCGAACAGGTATGTGCATACCCATGTTCACAACAGCCAAAAGGGTGACGTGACCCAGGTGCCCCCAGATGAATGACTGGATAAACCAAATGTGGCGTATGACATACAACGGAGTAGTATTCTGCCTTAAAAAGTTAGGAAATTATGACTCGTGCTACAACACGGATGAACCTTGAGGACATCAGGCTCAGTGCAATAAGCCAGTCAAAAAAGGGCAAATACTGTATGATTTCACTTTCTGAGGTACCTGGAGTAGTCAAATTCAGAGAGATGAAAGTAGAATGATGGTTGCCAGGGGTCGGGCGGAGGGAGGAAAATGGGGAATTAGCATTCGACGGGTGTGGCATTTCAGGTGGCGGAAGATGAAGTTCTAGAGATCGCTGGTGCCCATTCTTTGCAATGTCACTCAACTGCGCCTTAGACATGGTTAAAATGGTAAATTTATGGTATCACTATTTCACTGCAATTAAAAAAACCCACATTCACAATACATGTACGTCAAGCCACTACGCTGTTCACCTTAAACTTACACAGAGCTCTATGTCCACGGCGTCTCGGTCAAACTGAAAAGAACCACCCCAGCGTGATGTGTGCTGTGAGAGAGACAAGCCCCGCACCCCCAGGGAGAGCAAAGAGGCCACGCGGTGACCACACCGAAATTAGTCTTGTGGGACAAGTAGAGTCAGCCACGTGGAGAAGAGGGAGGGAGGAGGGGATGTCACAAGTCGCCATCGCTAGGATTTGTTCCATCTTTATGGCCATCAGGAAAGCCATGGGACCTGGAGCAAGTGGGCCCAGAGCAGGCAGGGACAAGGAAGTGTGGCTGAGGGCAGGGAAGTGGCCTGAGCTTTTCTGAGGGAGCAGCCGTGCTCAAGGTCCTGGAAGATCCGCCCAGCATCTAACCCGCCTCTAATTACAAATCTGTCACCTGAATCAGCCATAGCACTTTAGTACCGTGATTAAGCCCCTTCATGGTCAGCGAGGCCCCCCAGATTGCTGCCAGGATTTGGAAGATGAACTAAAGGGCTCTGTAGCGGGCAGGGCTGTGCACGTGTGTGCATGCACACATGAACTGAAGCAAGAGCAAACGAAGGGGCTCTTCCTGAATGAATCCTGAACTCTGGACTAACGTCAAATGAGAGAAAACAAGGAAGGACAAGACGGGGGACTTGGGCTTCCAAGCAGCAACTGAGCTGACCTGTTTCAAAGTTGTTGAGGTGCCATCTGTTTCCCAGGACCCGCAGAGGGGCCTGTAGGTGACACAGACAGATGACCCAAGTCATGTCCTTCACTGTGCTCGAGAGAAAAGCAGGCCATAGGGATGCTGACAAAGAGCAAAGAGAAAAGACAAAGATGCTGTAACTTTTGTAATTCAAGTCTGTGTTTCTTGTCTGTGTCCAAGAGTAAAATTTCCCTGAGTTCAGCAGTGTGAGCCCCATTCCTCCACCCTTCCCCACCTTCTCGGCACTTCTCTGAAACATCACACTGGTAAGAACAAAGGAAAACCGAGAGCACACTGTCTGATTTGGACAGGCCCAGAGGCCAGTCACAAGTATATTCCTCACAATCCCAAAAGAACTGATTAATCCCAGTAAACCTAAAGTAGTGCTTCTGTTCATACATAGCACAGGGCCGCGGCTACTGTGTAAAGCAGGATGGCCTCTGCCCAGGTGCACCCAGACCTCCGTCAGCAGAGTCTGAAGGTAGCTGGTCCGTCCAGGGAAGGGCCTGGGCTCGTGCTCTCCCTCACTGATCCCCCCAGCAAATCCCCAACAGCTGCTCACCCCCATTAAACTCGCAGGAGGCTCTGCCCCACAGCTGTGGCGGACTCCTGCCACAGAAGGGCCCCCGGAGCCATCTGCGGCCTCCACCCCGTTCTGCCCTCTGGCGGGGCTCCCCAGGCACACATCTCATCTCCTTTGTGAGGAGCGGAGAGGAGGTAGGACAGAACTGTGGGGGAAGGGCCACAATAGGGCTCAAGCTCCCATTTTTCAAATGTCAGCCTGGGCACCTGTGGACAGTCTCTTTCAGACGAGGCCTGCCAGTGCCCTGCAGACTGCAGAGGGCCAGAAACGCCCCTTCCCATGAACGTGTCCAGGAGACCAAGCCCACAGACTGCACCTCTCCTACTGACCCCGGGCTGATTCTGAGCCACCGGTCCTTCCGCTGACGTCACGCTAGCCTCTTTCTCTCCTGGGTTTCCTTCCAGCTCTCTAACTTTCCTTCTTCGTCTCTGTCACGGGCTCACCATGTCCAACTAAACCAAAAAAGGGCGAGATGTCATCCTTGAACTTCTTCTCTTCTCACTCCTTCCACAGCAGCCTCCACTCCCTAAACACTCGCAGCTCCCCAATTTCTATTTCCAGTGCAGAGCTGCCTCCTGAGCATCATGCTCTAAATACCCCACCCTGACATCCTACCACACCCCACGTCTCAAATTGAACAAATTCAAATCTGAACTCCCCTCCCCATAAACCTGACTCTCCCCACAAGCCCTTCCCTTGGGCTGCAGCGTACTTATCCAATCTCAGTTTTCCAAGCCAGAAACGTGGGCTCGTTGCCTTTGTCTCCTCTAACTCTTAGAGCTGATCAGCCCACGGGTGGTGTTGATGACCCCCCGCTCCTTCCTCCACCTTCCCGGCTACTGGGTCAAAGTAGCTCACCTCTCGGTTGCCTTCATCACTGTATTGGTTGACTTCTTCCTCATCAACTCCTGCACTCAGTTGGCCTCTAAGTCCTGGAAATTCTATCTCCTTGGTGTCCCCTCACCTCCATTCCCCTGGCCAGGACCATGGTTCAAGCACCACCATTTCCCTCAGGGAGCAGCTCCTAACGGGCTTTGCAGATCCAGCTCCTTCTCCAGTCTGCCCTTCAATCTGCCCGAAGAACCACCTCTCTAACACACACGCCTGATCGTGTCGTGCCTCTGCTACTGATCTTTCACGGGGGCTGCCCTTGCCTTCTGGAGGAAGATCACAATTCTCAGCACAGCACTCAACAACCCACCTGGTCTTTCCTGGGACAACCTGCCAAATTCATGTCTTGCTGCGTCTCCTTGGTCACTGTCCCTTCCAGCCATCCACCCCAAAGGACTGCAAGTTTCTTTGCTCTTCTACCAAATCATATTCTACTGCCATCACAGCTTTTCTGGACCATATTCCCCTCAGGCTAAGGAGCCAGAAGTCTGGCGGAAAATGGAACAGAAAGTATGGGAGAGCCCAGACCCTTGTTTCAGCTCTACATTCTGTGGAGTTAAGACTCTACACCATTGCTTGGTCTCCTCCACAACCCACTCTTAGAATTTTCCCTAGAGATGCGTTTGGATAATCCCATTTCCCCTTGACTGTCTATCTTGCTGCAATGCCAGATAAATGCAAAAAATAATGATACATGCTCTCTCTGCAGTCCCTCTAAGTTGGAATTCTCCTCGTGACTAGTGGATCTGGCCTGAGACCTGGGCCTGGTGCAGGCTGCAGCTAACAGCTTACATTGACAATGACCGGGGAGCCAAGCTCTGATCTGGTTCAACTCTAGAAGGTGAAAGTTAAAGAGAAGCATCAGGGGGAGCTTGACACTTTCCCCAAGGAGACCACGGGCATCATCTCTGTGAGTCTAGGACAACAAAGGCACAATGGGCCCCACAGTGAGGCCACCATCTATGGAGTAAACTTGAGCAAACATAACTTCAAGGATACATGCCCAGGATGACAGCTTCCAGGCATTTGATAGGCAAGGACTCCCGAGTCATTTCTTTCGCTGTTTCCATTAACCTGTAGGGTAGAGCACAGCAAAGTATCTCAGGACTTATTTAATTATGCAGTCTGTCTGTCGGTCAATCCATCAGCGTGCCTGTCTCCACACCAGGTGCCATGCAGGTTTATAGAGGGAAAGGGGAGAGCTCGCTGTGCAGGACGGAGCCAAGGTGCATCTGGATCCGGCAGAACTAAATTCCTAAATTCTCCACTCCTCTCTCCAAGCATTAGTTCCTGGAGGTTGGTGCCTGTATGCCATGGCATTCTCTATGCCCCAGGACAAGGGGCATTACAAAGAGCAAGTAAAGGAGGCCACATAAAACAAACTTCAGGGCCACCTGGGTGGCTCAGTCGGTTAAGTGTCCGACTCTTGATCTCAGGGTCGTGAGTTCAAGCCCTGCATTGGGCTCCACGCTGGGCGTGGAGCCTGCTTAAAATAAAGAAGATACACCCTGAAATTGCATTGCCAAAAAGAAGCCTGAAACTGTGTGATGCTGGGGGTGGAGCCTACTCAAAAAACAAGAACAAAAACAGAAGCCAACTTCACAGGCCTCCTGCACCCCTGTAAGAGTTAGTCTTCCCCACAGAGCTTAGCTGTCAGAGTGGCCCAGCCCCTAGCCCCACCGCCAACCTGGCCCTGGGGCACCCCCACCCCCACCCCTTACAGACCAGGATGTTGGAGCAGGGGATATAGGGATAAAGGGTGGGAGAGGGAGTTGACAGCTTTCGAGTAGGAGAGAGGTCCCCTGGCCCACAGATCATGCACCACTTACCCACTCAGCGGTCTCATTTTCCTAATTTCAAAGAACTGGGTCCCTGTATGATTGTATCTGTGTGAAGTATGTAAAGGGAAAGTGACAGAAAACTCCAAAGGTCCCAGTGATCCAGCAGAGGAAGCTATGCATTGATTTCTTAAAGGGATGAGGAATGAAGAGTGAGGGACTTTCTGGAAAGTGCCCAGTAGCCAGAAGGTAGCCACGAGCCTCTTACTCCTCACTGTTCTGCCCTGAAAATCCAATTTCTAACTTAAGCTTCAAAACACCTTGGACCTTTATAATAGCTATTTTCAATCTGCTCTGTATTCTGTTTAGTTGAAAACATGTCTTAATTCACTTATTAGACTACAAACTCTTTGGGAGTTAGGACCATTTATTTATTACCTTTATATCACCCACAAAGCCTGGCACAAATCCAACATACTCCAGTTAGCAACTATTATTAAATGAATGAGGAATAAATGAATAGATGGGTGGACAGATGGATGGATAAATGGGTGGATTAGTGGAAGGGTGGATGGATGAATGAAAGGAAGGAAGGATGAATGGAATTGATGGAATGGAAAGGTAGGTGGATGGATGGATGGATAGACAGACGGATGGAAGGAATTGATGGAATGCAAAAGTGGGTGGATGAATGTATAGATGGATGGATGGATGATGGATGGAAAGGATGAATAGAATGGAAGGGTGATGGCTTGGAAGGGTGGATGGATGGATAGATAGTAGAGGTGGATGGATGGATGGATGGATAAATGGATGGAAGGAGTGGATGGAATGGAAGGGTAGATGAAATGGAAGGGTAGATGGATGGATGGGTGGGTAGGCAGGTGGGTGGCTGGATGGACAGATGGATGGATGGAGGGAAGGATGATGGATAGAAGGGTGGGAGCATGGCAGAAGGGTTTCTCAACAGTGCAGTCTCTGCAGCAAAGTTTACTGTGGAGACATCACCTTCGTTTCACTGGACTGATACTAGACCATGGTTACTAAGTCTGAGAGGATGACACTATTACCCACAACTTGGGATTTAGCTGGTTGCCCAGAAAGTGTCAGGGACTGGCAAGCCAGCACCAGGTCATTCTGAAGGAGATCAAAGATTCCCTGATGTGATGCTCTCGGAGACTAGATCTTGATTTTTTCAGAGCCTAAAGAAAAGTTGCTTTACACATTTCTCTTTCCTGCCTCAAACAAAATCCTATAGATAAAAGCATATGTTGGGAAGGTGCTCATGAATGGAGAACTTGTAACCCTGGCAGGGGGTATGAGGGGAGATGTGTGACCCTAGAGTGGTACAAGCAGTGGCAGAAGGGGGCGCTGCACACCCTCCCAAGGAGGGTTAGGACCCCCAGCCCCCTCCCCCCAACAGGCACGCATAACAACTACTGGAGGGTGGGGGGTGGGGAGCTCATTATAAGGAGACTCTGGGCTCCCCCCCTGGAGATTCGGATTTCAGGCCATGGTCCTAACCCTCGCTGTCATTCAGAGTCACACTGCCTTGGACTGTTGTGTTGGAGGTTCCAGGGTGAGAGCCAGAAGATGATTTTAACAAGCTCACCAAGCTGGAAATTATCAGCATGAGCCATAAGAAGAGCCCATCACAGTATATAGGCTCTTGCCCAGCTTTTGAAAAATGCAATATAAAAAACCTCAGAGGGAAAAGAGAAAAACGAGGGGCTACGTATCCTCACCGTGAAGCGATATTTTTACTTGACCAAAGATCTCATTCGAACAGTGAGACTCCTGGTAAATTTAAAGTAGAATTCAGTGGACAAAAATTCCACCTGTATGCCTTTCTCCCTGTTCACAGATCCAGTCTATACACCTAGTGTGTAAAGTGAGACCAACGCATAATAAAGTAACAAAAAATTGCCTGGCCTTCCATTCTCAGTTCCTTACCGTTATGAGCCCCAGAAAGTGAGTTGGGGGGAAAGCCTCCTGTAAACATTGCCTTCAGAGTGAGATACTTCCTGAGCCCGAGCTGATCCTCAGAAGGCCTCTCCCCACGAGGCAGAGCTCAGGGGACACCTGTCTTTCCAGAAGTCCATGCAAGATTAGCACTCCTGATGGCTGACACTCTGAAGCTGTCAGAAGGGAAGGCAGGATTTGTCTTTTCATGTCCCCAAACAAGCACGTCTATAGTTAGGACTAGCCTGGTAGCCAAGCATGCGTTACTGTGTCCAGGACAAAGCCGTAGGAAGTTCCAAAGACCTAAATACATACTTCCTTTTACTGCCCTTCGCTTTACTGCCCTTTGCAGATATTACGATTTCTTGTTTTGTTTTGTTTTGTTTTGTTTTTTACAAACCGAAGATTTGGGGGCACCTGGGTAGCTCAGTCGTTAAGCGTCTGCCTTCCGCTCAGGTCATGATCCCGGGGTCCTGGGATGGAGCCCCGCATCGGGCTCCTTGCTTGGCGGGGAGTCTGCTTCTCCCTCTCCCCCTCCTCCATGCTTGTGTTTCCTCTCTCCCTGTGTCTCTCTCTGTCAAATAAATAAATATAATCTTAAAAAACAAACAAACAAACCGAAGATTTGTGGCAACCCAGCATCCAGCAAGTCTGTCCACACCATTTTGCCAACATGTGCTAACTCGGTGTCTCTGTGTCAGATTTTGGTAATGCTCACATTTCAAACTTTTTCATTATTATTATAACGTGCTATGGTGACCTGTGATCAGCGATTATGACTTACTGAAAGCTCAGAGGATGGTTAGCATTTCTTGACAACAAAGGCTTTTAAATTAAGGTACGTAGATTGCTGTTTTAGATACGTCATTGAGCGCTTTCGATGTGTTATTCCAGGTATGTTATCGGGTAGTGTCAGCAGAAATTTTACGTGCACTGGGAAACCAAAGAATTCACTGGACTGGCTTTATTGCCATATTTGCTCTCTTGCAGTGGTCTGGACCCGAAACTGCAATGTCTCCGACGTGTGCCTGTAAAAGTCTGGGCAGCAGAGAAAACAGAGGTCACACTCTGCCTTCTTTGCGCATTGGCTCCAACAGCCAAGTGACCGGGGGCACGATCCCAGCAGCCCGCGGCACTTTCCCCTTTCCGGCCCTCTCTGCAGTCAGTGATCTAGGTCAGTGACCATCGTTATGGGTCAGAGAAGAAAATGAAAAAGCAGATCCTTCAGGCAAACTGTGAAAGTTTGGCTGAGAACATGCTGTAGGGTTTATGGAAGAATGAGCATATGATGTACATTTGCCCCTATCAGGGCATCCCCAGCCAGGCTCATTCCCTTTCATCTCTGGCTGCATGATCCTTGGGAAGATCATGTGCTAGATGGAAGTGGGGAGCAGTTCTAATTTCTGTCACCTTCAAGAATATTCTGTGAGCAGTCAGTCACACCCTTGGGCTCTTGGGGTCCCAGGCTATCCTGGCAGAAGTTTATGCTATGCTCCCCAGGGGTCCCAGTTTGGGGATCAGCACCAACAGCAGATAGCCTGCTCAGGGTTAGGGCTGTTCGCTTCACCCCCGGAGGCTGGTGCCACCTCCCCCTCTACTATTTCTTTCAGGATTCCACCGGGAAGATGCCATGCAAGGGAGTTATATCACCTGTGAAGTGGGAACTGCGAGGCTAATGAAGTAATCTGCCTACCCAAATCAGTAGCAACTGGTGTTACTCTCCTCTGGTATGCCCCCCCTTCAGAGAGACACACAAATCCAGAGGAAAGATGCTTGCATGTGGCACAGAGAGGAAGGGCCTCTTCTGGGGCACGTGGGAACATGTGTGCAGTGTCCCATGAAATCCTTTCTGCTGAGTTCTATGTCTTTCGGGACAAAGGACGGAGGTCAGCAGAGAATTGACCTCTTGGACAATGTGCTGGGGGCTAGGGGGCCAACAGCTGCCTCGGTAGGGCGTCTGATGCTGTCTTAGCTCTGAGATGTTCACGGGCGGGGGCAAACAGTCTGTCCCTCCCACAGACACCTCTGACAGCCCAGCTCCCATCTGATTCCTGTCCCTGAAAAAAATACCAGCAGTGGCCAATGGACCAGCCTCCGCTGCTCCTTTGTTCTTACAGTGCTGCTGGTGTGGGCCCACAGAACAGATCTAATCCTGGCTACAAACAAGCCATGGACACTGGCGGAGAGAAGGACCAGAGTCCGGCTGGTCTGAATTCAGCCTGGACCCACAGGGTTCCTCCACGCTTCTCCAAGCTCACATGAGGGAAGAGGACCCCCATCCCAGGGCCCCATTTCTTCCTGTGGAAGGGAGCAAGGCTGCCGGTCTGGGGCACCTGGGGAGCCAAAGGCAGTGCCAGGTGGGCCTCCTATAGATTGCAAGTGGTCAGGATGAAGGCGAAAAGTGAGAAAGGAAAGAAAAAGAGCAGAAAGAAGCCCAGGAGGGAAGAGGGAGAAAGATAGATAGTAGAGGAAGAGAGGAGGGAAACAAAGATCCCCTTATTATCATGCTTCCAGACTCACATTGGGGCATCCCTCTATGCCCGGCCTCACCAACCTTAGAGCATTTACTGACCAGCTGGGGACAGACCTGCCACCAGGCTCGAGATCACCACACCCGTCCCCACGGGGTCCGCCCAGACCCTGGTTGGAAGGATACTGTAGTGTCTTCATGTAGTTCTGGATTGCCTGGAGCCAGTCTGGGATCGTCATCGACAGCCTGTAGTTCGGAACCTGGGGTACTGAAGGCTGCAAAGAAGTAGAGAGAGAACTCTTTATCAAGGAGATGCTCCGGGGCCCAATGCCTGAGGGCAGCCAAAGGGCTGAAAGCACCAGAGAGCTGCTCCTGACAGCAGACGGCCACCTGCACAAGGTCTCGCCAGACCACGTGGTCCCTTGCCAAAGTTCTGCTTGTCTGTGTTCCCTCCATACCCTCTGCCCTGGGGCACCATGGCTCGCTATGGCCCTCTGTGGGTTGTGAATGTGAACGCAGCCTGCCTCCCCATGGGAGCCTCAGCGTCGTCTCCTTGAAGCCAAGGACCATGTCCTATAGCATCCCCCACTCAGCCTGGCCCAGGATGTTCACAGGGGTGCCCCACGAACCCTCACATTTTTACTGCATGACTACACCTTTTGCTGCATGGCTGGTATGACCCATTATACTCCAGGACACCACTGAATACAAGACGAATGGTGCCCTGAAGAAATGCAACATGATGCTGCACCTGCCATCTCTCCTCAACACCACGCCCATCGAGGCCCTTCCCTCGAGGCCTAGTTTGGCCCAAGCGGGTTAGCAAAGACTCCCCTCTTGCCATGACTCTTCCCAGATAAGGGCAGCCCCTCTGACTCATGAACACCCCCAGCTGCCCAGGCGCTGCTTCTTTTCCTCGCCTGCCCCTCAGTTAACACCCACTGAGTGTCTACGGCTGAGTGCACGAAGTTCTAACCACTGCTGGGAAAAGAAAGGAGCAACATCAGGCGAGGACTGGAGAGCGGGAGATAAGTGCCTCTTCTCAGGAATTTAGAGCTAAGACACCAGCTCTGAGACACCAGGCAGCTCTGAGCACCCCTGCCAATGAGGCCAAGAGCAAGAATGAGCAGGGGCTTCTAATCCAGCCCTTCTTTTTTTTTTTTTTTTTTAAAGATTTTATTTATTTATTTATTTGAGAGAGAGAATGAGAGAGAGAGAGAGAGCATGAGAAGGGGGAGGGTCAGAGAGAGAAGCAGACTCCCTGCCGAGCAGGGAGTCCGATGCGGGACTCGATCCCGGGACTCCAGGATCATGACCTGAGCCGAAGGCAGTGGCTTAACCAACTGAGCCACCCAGGCGCCCCTAATCCAGCCCTTCTCTTCCTGGGTAGAAAGGGACAGTGTGTGCTTTCTTCCCCCTATATGCTTCTCAGTCTCATAAGCTTGGCCTCTGGCGGGGCGGGGCTGTTGGTGACAGAGACACTCGGCCCCTGTGAGCCTGTGGAAAGGGGAGGCTCCTCCAGGCTTAAGCCACTTAGGGAGGAGCAGAAGGGGCCGCAGGACGGATTAGTTCATCCTCAATCCTCGAGAACACAGGGAAAGGGAGGCCCTGGGGATTTAGTGCTCAGCTGATGGAAGGTGAAGCCGCCGGTGGAGAGACTTGGGGACGGTGCTGTGCAGCCTGGCTGGACACCAGGGACAGACACTGCCCAAGGACATGCCCTGGCCCCCTCCCTGCTCTCCAGGCTCGGGCCCGCGCTGAGGCTGGAGGGCGCGCTGCCCCTGGGCTTGTGGCGGGGCTCCTTCCATACTTCCACGCCTTCCACACCTTCTACACCTTTAGCTGCGGTTACTTAAAATGCTACTTGACATTCATTTCCTCTCAGTGCTTCTCTTTTCTCTTGGCTTTGCAACTTCCTACTTCACAGCAACTGCCCCTCTGGCAGAACGGAGACCAGTCACACGTCCTGCTTCATGGCCAAGGTGCCGAGAGTGTGTGTGTGTGTGTGAATGTGAGGGGGTGTGTGTACACGCATGCACAGCTGTTCTGCAAACTACATGTGGTTCACAACATATCCACTCAAATCACGGTTCTGTCTTGGAGAGGAATTTTGGGGAGCAAAACGTTCCAACGTGACCATTCGCTCACGTGACCCTCCCACACACGCAAGTGCACGTATACACACACCGATGAAATGTATGTATTATGTATTATGAAATGTATCCTCGTATTTCTGCCCTTACAAACACTAGAAGTGTCCATCTTGTCCTTGCTTTTTGCAGTAACATCCACTGATCTACCCGTACCTGGAATTCTGTGGAAGAAGGTGCCAGAGATTGCACAGAGAAGTGAGGAGAGAAGGGGAGATGTAGACAAACATTTCTTTAGCACCTGCTACATTCCAAGCTCCAGGTCAGGGGCAAGGGAACACAGAGACGGAGGAAGGAAGGAAGGAATGCTGTCTTAATTAGACAGCATTACGGCACACGTGTATTTCTACACGGAAAAGTGCTATTTGTATCTATTTAATACAAAAGATGGTAAAAGCATGGGGAAATGCCCCAAAGAATCACCGGCCACCTAAGGGATCCTCAGAGGGGTGTCCCTTGGCCAGAGCCCTGCCATAGCCACACGGACTTGGTTCAGAGGTGGCTACGGGGGCCAGCCACCAAGCCCAACAGAGCCCACAAGAGCCAGATGGTGGGGTGGGAGTCAGGCAGCAGCTGGTCCTCAGAATAGCAGCCCGATGGCGCCCAAGGGCTTTTAAAAACAGCTGCCTGGTTACCTCAGGCCCGGCTGAGAGTGCCGGAGCTGTGGCCACATTCCCCAAGCCCCAGCTGGGGATCAAGGCTGCAGTGGGGAGAGGAGCTGAGACAGCTGAGGGGCTGATGTCATCAGGCTACAACGCACCCTGCTGTCTGGGAAAGCTGGCTGGGGCTCAGGCTGGGGGCCGGCTCCCAACCAGCATCTCAGGCCTCCAACACGCCCACAGGACGGTGGACTATATAAACCAGGTGGGCTCCTTGGCCGGTAAGTATGAGACCGACACAAGATCCAAGTCCCCGCTCTGTCACCTACTCACTGTGGACCCTGTCCAGCTCCATGACCTCTTTAAGCCTCTGTTTCTTTCCTGATAAAACAGGAGAGTATCACCCACTTCAAACCTTCTGGGCTGGTTGTAAGGATTGTAGGACCTAATGTACAAAGCAGGCAACTTGGGACTGGCGCTCAGAACTCTGGAAGGGTTGGCTATGTTATCATTCATCAACAATGTGTTTTCGGGATCTAGACTGGGGAAGCCTGAATGGTCTTCACTTTTCTGGAACTGGAAGACAGAATCAGCAGGGCCTGAGTCTCTGCACACACTCAACGTGGAACATCACAAAGATGCCTTCTCACCCCAGTGGAAGAGAACACGTCCACTTCCCCCTGGGGACACATCTTGTCCATGAGCTAATATCCTTAATTCATGAACAGTTCATACAAAGTTATAAGAAAACTCTTCAGGGGCACCTGGCTGGCTCAGTCAGTACAGCATGTGACTCTTGATCTCGGGGTCATGAGTTCGAGCCTCACATGGAGTGTACAGATTACTTAAAAAAAAAAAAAGTAAACTCTTTGGGCTTTAATGAAAAAAAAAATGGCCCAAAAGGTAGAAGAAACCCAAATGTCCATTGACAGGTGAATGGATACTTTAAAATGTGGTACAGGGGCACCTGGCTGGCTCAGTCAGTAGAGTATGTGACTCTTGATCTCAGGGGTCATGAGTTTGAGCCCCGCATTGGGTGCAGCTTATTTTTTAAAATGCGGTATATACATACAATGGAATATTATTCAGCCTTTAAAAATGACATTTTGACACAAGCTACGACATGGATGAACCTTGAGGACATGCTAAGTGAAATAAGCAAAACATAAAAGGACAAATATATGATACCTCTTACACAGTCGTCCCCCTTTATCCACGGGGCATACGTTCTGAGACGTCCCCCCCCACAGATGCCTAAATCTGCAGATAGTGCCAAACTCTATCTATACTATGTTTTTTTCCCCAAGCATACATATACCTCTGATACCGCTTCATTCATAAATTAGGCACAGTGAGGAGATTAAAATAATCAATAAAATAGAACAAGTATAACAATGTACTGTAATAAAAATTATGTGAATACGATCTTTCTCAAAATCTCTTATTGTAGTGTACTCACCCTTCTTGAAATAGGAGGTGATAAAATGCCTACACAATGAGATGAAACGAGGGGAATGGCGTAGGCATCATGACCTGGCCTTAGGCTACTATTGACTCTGACGACAGGTCAGAAAGAGGATCATCTGGGGTGCCTGGGTGGCTCAGTCGTTAAGCGTCTGCCTTTGGCTCAGGTCATGATCTCAGGGTCCTGGGATCGAGCCCCGCATCCGGCTCCCTGCTCCGTGGGAGGCCTGCTTCTCCCTTTCCCACTCCCCCTGCTTATGTTCCCTCTCTCGCTGTGTCTCTCTGTCAAATAAATAAAGAAAATCTTAAAAAAAAAAAAAAGAAAGAGGATCATCTGCTTCCAGACGGCAGGTAACCATGGGTGACAGAAAGCATAGAAAGTGAAACAGTGGAGAAGGGGGGGCCAACTTTATGAGGCACCCACAGTAATCAAATTCATACAGACAGAAAGCAGAGAAGGGTGGTTGCCAGGAACTGAGGGGAGGGAGGAAGAGGCGTTAGCGTTTAATGGGTACAAAGTTTCAGCTAGGGAAGAAGGAAAACTTCTGGAGATGGAACACAACAGTGTGAATTACTTAATGCACAGAACTGTACACTTACAGGGGGTTAAAATGGTAAATTATATGTTATGTATATTTTACCACAATTTTTAAAACAGTCATGAAAAGACAATTCACAAAAGAAATGAATACATATTTGAAAAAAATTTTCAAGCTCACTAATAATTTAAGAAATGCAAAGTAAAGGGGCACCTGGGTGGCTCAGTCGGTTAAGCGTCTGCCTTCAGCTCAGGTCATGATCTCAGAGTCCTGGGATTGAGCCCCGCATCGGGCTCCCTGATCAGCGGGGAGTCTGCTTCTCCCTCTCCCTCTGCCTACAGTTCCCCATGCTTGTGTGTGCTCTCTCTCTCTCTGACAAATAAATAAATAAATAAATCTTAAAAAAAAAAAAAGAAATGCAAAGTAAAACCACTGCAAAATGCCATTTTCACCTCCAATTAGTAGAGATATTCTGAAATGTGGACACCTAATGCTGACGGGGATGCTCTTATAAGGCACAATGGGAACATAAATTGGTACAACCTTTTTATAAAATGCCATGGCACATTCTTTTTTTTTTTTTTTTTCCTCCCTGATGGGTCCTAAGAGTCCCTCCTCATGTTATTTTCCTGTCCTGTTTCACCTGAAACCCCAGCCTAGATTTTCCATGGCCGTTCCCCTCAAGGTTCCTGCCTCCTGCCTCCTGCAACCAGCCCCTCAAGTCACAGCCCAGATGATGAAGGCGGAATCCAGAGGGAAGAGATCAAAACCAGCCTCTCTACACAGGCACTGTGCCTGTGGTCTGGGGTTGGGGACCCTGAGAGGTGGAGGGCAGGAGGTAGGAGTGGGCCAGAAGGGAAGATAGCTGTTCACGAATAATGCAACCAGCCACAGGGAAGGCTTCTGTGGTCAGGCTCTCTCTCATCCCATTCTCGGCAAACACAATTACCTGTCCAAAGAATGCAGGGAGAAATGATGTGAATGGACATAGGTGTGTAAGTGGCATCCCCATAGCAAGAGACGGGGAAAGGCAGAAAAGGAAGCCCGGAGGCAAGCCAGAACACTCAGCACCAGGAATCTTTAACAAGAAAGAACAAAGAGAAAGCAAAGCTTTTTGCTGTCCCTGCTCTGGAAAACACGGGTGCCTGTGCAGACACCCCAGGCAGAAGAATCTTCTCTCGCAACTTGGAGAAGCAGCATAGAATATCACTCATGAGCCCAGGATGGACCCCAGACCTCTGCATCAGAGGCAGCCAGGAACCTGTTGAAGGCGGCCTGGTGTGGAGCTCTGGGGGTCTCAACCTTGGGCCAAGCAGGAAGGACAGACCATGGTTCTGAATCGAGGACACAGGCAGGAGTGAGCTGCCTGTGTGAGCTAGCAGGGGGCAGGAGTGGGCCCTGACTGCAAACTCTCCCCGCCACAGTCTCACACTTCTCCGCTCAGTCAAAGCTGAGTCCTCTAAAAGTGAATTCTTTCCCAATTTAGAAACAACATGAGAATGAGGCACAGAAACATGGGGTCTTTAAGAAACTATTGCTGTTTCCTGCTGAATCCATTCTGGTCACCCCTTGGAGAGTCCAGCTCAGCCAGTAGAGAAGCGGAGGAGCTGTTTCCTAGCATACCCTGCTGGTTTTTCTGGGCCAGCCACTCTCTCTGCTTTTCCTTTCTCTTCCTCTATCATCCTCCAATGACTGCTGCTTTTTGGTACTTTCCCTGAAAAGCCCCGGACTTCAGCTAGTCAGCTGCTAGCTTGGACCCAGTAACCACCAGGGGTGAGGCCTGCAGTCACATATTTAAAAGGTGGCTTGCAGAGGAGGTGAGCCCCCGGACCCCCGAACCCCTCACCCCCCTTCCCGCCCCGGTAGGGGCACCTGGACCTGTGGGCAGAACTTCCCGTGGCTGCTCACAAAATGTCCTGCAAAGAAGTATCATTCAGTCCTCCTCTTAAACCTTTGGTACCTTCCCCTGTCCTCTTTTGCTTCTTAGTCTATATTCAATTGCCAAAAAAGGTTAGTCTCCCTGAAACTCTCCAACCCTCTACCACCACCCAACACCCCTCTTCTGTACAAAGTCCTCAGCAAGACACTGGTAAAGGAGAAAAGGACCCAGACCCAAAGGAAAAAGTCTGCCAAGCTGAGTGCAAGAACAGCCCTTGGACCAGAGAGGAGCGGCCCCCGGAACCAGGAGCTATTTTGAAGCTCTTTCCCATCTCAGGACCTAGGTAGGGGTCAGGGGTTGGGGAATGTTAGGACTTAGGAGAAGGGGATGCTGAGATGGAGTTGGGGTGGGGGAGAGAACCAGCTATTATGATGCAATGTAAGAGAGAGAAATGTTAAGTTTTTTATTTAGGTTCAAAAAGCCAAGGTCCATATTTAGCCTGGGGTTTTCCTGGCTTGGCAGTTCTCATATGACTTCAGGTTACTGTGAAAAGAAAAGACAGTGTGGCTGCTATATAAAAAAAGGGAACTTTTTTTTTTTTTAAAGAACGCAGCATTCAGCCACAATAGTGGAAGCATCAGGTACGGGTCTCAGGGAAGAGTGATCTGTGTTCTAAACCGCTCAGACAACATTGAGAATATTGTGTTTCATATGCGCTTATTTTAACCAACTGAGCCACCCAGGCATATGTGCTTATTTTAGAGGGCTGACTGGTGACAAACTAGCAAGTGTCCTAGAAAGAGGGTGAGGAGAGTGCTTTGATCTGGGAACTGTGACACTAAGACCCAGTGAAGGGAGCTGCGTGAGGACAAAGAACTAAAGGAAGATGCAGAATGACGGAAGCTCACGGCTCTGAGGACTTGTTCTAAGCCAACTCTGTTGTCTCATTGGAGACCTGGAGATGTACGGGTCATATCATCAAGGGACTGAAGAGCTGGAAAGAAATTTATATGAAATCTGGGCTACTCCCATTTTACAGATGAGAAGACTAAGGCCAGAGATTTTAAGTGAGTGACTGAGGCCACAAAGCCAGACGTAGCACAACCAGGACTAGAATTTAGTCCCTTGATTTTTACTCCAAGTCCCATCCTTACTCCAAGAGCACTGTGTCGTAACATTCTAGGGAGCTGTGAGTAGCGAAGGAGGTAGATGGGTGCTGCTGTGATTCAAAGAGCAACACAAGAATCTGCGGGGACGTCACGCTGAAGATGAAGAAAGAATTTCTGTGCCACCGAAGAAAAGAGTTTCCCAATCACCAAAACCCAAATCTGGCCAGGCCCTGGGGCCAGCTGCCCTGTGAGGTGATGAGCCCCCCATCCCCATGAGGGCTCTGGAAAGAAGAAGGGATTCTGCCGAGAGGTGGGAGACCAGTCTCCACCAAAACAAACATTCCCTGATTTCCATGGAGGAAAGGGGTCCCCACACACAAGGCCAGGAGGAAGATGAAGCCACAGTTAGAAGCAGGGTCAGCGGTCAGGAGGCTGAATTAGAATGGCAGCATGGGACAGCAGGAACAGGCCTCTGTCCCCTGTGGCCACCTCTCTTCCATGCTTAAAGGGCTCCCAGGTCCTCCTTAAGTAAAGCAAGGCTCACTCAAGTAAGGACAAAATCTGAAGTCAGAACTACTGGCCAAGACCAGTGTTGTTCTCATGCTCAGGGAGAACCCAGCAAGGTAATTACAGCTGACAATGAAGCAGGAAAGATCCTCGTTGGGCATAATGAAGATCTCCTTGACCTGCTGTAAGAAAGCACTGACTGACTGCAGCAGGAAGCGTCCGGGCTCTGTCACTCTCCCCAAGGGCACACACAGCTCTCTGGCCTGCAGGGCTCAGATGCTCAGGTCACCAGATGCTCCAGGTTGGGGATTCAGCCAGAGGGCCTTTCAGGTCTCAGGTCTGGCATTTTTAGACCAGTCCAGGAATGTTCTCAGCCACATCAGTGTCCCCAGGGGCCAACGGAAACCATCTGCCATGCCATAACCCCCAGGCTCTGCAGCATTTCTCTGCAGCTTGCATTTTGAGGTCTCATAGAGTGACCACCGCACATCTCCCTCCCTCCGTCTTACTAACTATATCCTCAGCCACCAAACTCAGTCTGCCCACTGGCTTCTCTCCAAGGTAGAAAGAGTTTCACTCCTGAACCTCTTTCTCTATCCAGTGAGACTAATGCATCATGTGCACTGGAAAGTCCCTTTCAAGCAATAGTCAAAACTCTTCTTTTTTTTCTTGGAGTGCAGATAAGCTGGGAAAAGAGACAGTTCACTGCTTTGCAAGTTTCAGAGGTGAAAGTCACTGTCATGAAAAAAAAATTGGCAAAAAGTCTAGAAATGATTCACGCTGAGAAGTCTGACTGGTTGATTGCAAAATTCATTCACAGCCTGATAAATCATTTGCAAGGGAGAGACAGGGGAGGACTCAGAGTCTCCAAAGAGGAAAAGTAGGGTGGGATCCCTAGGGGGGCCTGTGCATTCTTGGCACCGCTGGTGTTACCTGGTGGCTACAGCTTTTGGTGGAGGAGGATGTACATGGGGGTGAGCAAGCAGTTTGGCTGGAGACTCAAAGAACTCTTGGCATGACCAGACCACACAGTCCCAGGACAGGAAGCCCTCTACCTCTCCCTCCCCCATTTTTAGGGCTTCCAAGACAAACATCTCTATTAAGCAAAGGGGGTGGGGACTGGCCGGAAGAATGGGGAGCATAAGGGAGTTTAGAGCTGGACCAGGAAAACGGACATGGCCACTACTTGCTATGCAGACTGAAGTGCTCCCATCGTTGCCCACCCCACCCCGTCCATCGAAGCCTCTGACCTTTGCCAAGAAGGTGGCGTTCCTGATGGCGCCCACCATTTCTCCCCCCTTGGGGTGCACCTTGGCCACGTGCATCCACATGCGCTCCCAGGTGTGGCTGTCGATGGGAAAGCCGCTCTTGTTAACGTGAAACAGCACCCCGCCGTCTTTGTCCTCTTCCTCCGAGCCCCCGCTGGTGGCGAGGCTCACGGGCCGCGCGTGGCTGCTCCGGGACCGGGTGCCTTTGGCGCCTTTGGGGTGGGGGCAGCGGTGAGTGTCGGCCGCGGAGCCGGTCATGGTGGGGCCGGGGCGGGGCGGGGGTGCGGGGGGCGCGCTGCGGAGGCGCCGGCGGCGGGGGGCGTGTGCGCGCGGGCGTGGCGCGGGGATCAGCGCCCCGCAGGGACAGCCTTCTCCATGCCTCTGGCTGCCGCAGGACGCGCGAACCGGGAGCGGCGGCTGGAGCTCCGCTTACCGGCCGAGCCTGAATCAGTGGAGACACAGCACACACCACGGGTAAGTGTACACCAGAGGAACCGAGGCGGGGGCCACTGTGTCCAACGGCGGTGGGGCCTCGGAGTGGCCCCGCGTCACTCCCCGCTCCCCCACCCCCGCGCGCCGACAGACCCCCTCCAGCAATTGCACACGAGCTTGCAGCCATGCAATTCCCGAGGAAGGCGACTCGAATTTTGCCCCAAAGCTTCACACACCCCTAGACACCGGGAGGGGGATCCAAGGAGCGTGGAGGGTGCGGAGTGGACAGGTAGGGAGAAGAAAGACAGCTCGTGCTGCGAGAAGGAGCAGGAGGTCCCCACAAGGCTCCACGCATTCCTTGGTGCCAGATGTGCCGGAACGTGCCGGCACGTGAGCGCCCGGGCTGCCGCGAGGGCGCAGCAGCAGCCTCGGCTTGCAAAGGCGGCCCCTTTTCCGCCCGGAGGCCCTCCCGGAGCCGGTGGGCGAGGGTCGGCTGCAGCCCCCAGGCGCCGGTGCAAGTGGCCCCACCCGCCCCTCTCCCCGAGTTCCAGCGCCAGGCACCCTGGGGACTGGCTGCGGGCGGGGCGCGAGGCGGGCGCGCCGCAGCTCCGGGACCCTACCTCGGGCGGGCGGGCCTCATGGCCGCGGAGCTTCTCCGGGCGGCGGGGGCTGCTGCGGCGGCT